AGAAAGCGAGAAATCACCCCCCAGGGTGGATGGTCACGCCGCAATCCCTTCTCCTCCATTCTCCTCTTGGGATCTTGGGCACGCACGCACACGTGCCCGGCGTGAGTTTTAAGCCACCGGGTCCGGGACACGAACCGCGGTCGACTACGTGGGAGTCCAGCGACATAGCCATTACACTAACTGCTGGTTCCCAACCAACTACAGCTTTCTGAGTCCTGGTGAAAACGTACCTCTCAGCAGTAGGCTCAGCAAATCCATGAGATGCAGGAAAAACTACAATACCTGAGCCCGCCTTGGTCAATAGAAGAGGCCCAATCTTCATGACAACGCCTGACAACACATCACACAACCAACACTTCAGAAGCTGAAAGAATTGGGCTATGAAGTTTTGCCTCATCCACCATATTTACCTGACTTCTCACCAACTAACTACCACTTCTTCAAACATCTCAATAATATTTTGTAGGGTTTTTTTTTAAATGCTTAAACCACTCAAATTAGCAGAAAGAAAGTAATAATGAAAGTGGAGACAAAATAAAGTAGAAAATATTAAAACAAATAGTTTGTAACAGAACAGCTGGCAAATCCTTAACTTGAACAGAAAAATAAGAGTCAATTAAGTAAAATCATAAATGAGAGAAGAGACATTACAAATGATGTTAAAATAAAAAAGTTATTATGAGATAACTATAAACAATTATACAAGGGAATCGAAAAAATTTCATGGAAAAACGGAATTAAAGTATAACACATTTGGGTGAAAAACATTTTTTAAATCCATGCATAAAGTTTCATAATGTACGTTTCCCATAAACTCTCTGAAGTCCCTGATCATATATAAAATAATTGGAGGACAAACTAGAAGAAATGGATAAAACTTACAACCTGCCAAGATTGAATCATGAAGAAATAGAAAACCTGAACAGACCAATTTGACCAAGTCAGTATTCAAATTATTTCCAACAAAGAAAAGCCCTGGATTGGATGGTTTCACTGGTGAATTCTACCAAATATTTAAAGAAGAATTAACCCTGGGCCCACCAGATGGTATAACGGTTACATTGCTGGGCTCCCACATGGCTGACCACGGTTTGAGTCCCAGACCCAGTCACTTGAAACTCAGGCCGGTGTGTGTGTGTGTGTGTGTGTGTGTGTGTGTGTGTCCATAATTTTGAGAGTGGAAAAAGGATTAAAGCATGCCCATTCCCCCAGTGGATGATGTCTCACTTTCTGTCTCTCTATCTCTCCAGTGAGCAGATGTGCCTTACAACAAAAATCTCTCTCTCTTAAAAAAAAAATTAAGTGATTTTTCTCTGTGTTTTTTGAAGCACTGAATAAGATAGAGCACTTCTAAACTCATTTTGTAATTCCAACATCTCCTTGACTTCAAATTCAGACAAAGACACTATAAGAAAAAAAGAAAGAAAGAAGTGAAAGCTATTGGACAAAAGCTATTAGACAACTGACATGCATAGATGAAAAAATCCTCCAATATCACTGACATGCATAGATGCAAGAATCCTCAACAGATATTAGCAAACTGGATCCAACAGTACATTTAAAAGATTGTAAACAATTGCCAACTGGTATTTTTCATGAGGTATAAGGATGGTTTAACATACACGAATCAATTAGACTGTCCCCAACTTAACGATTTTTCAACTTTTCAACTTTATGATAGTATGAAAGTGATACTCATCAAGTTGAAACTGTACTTTGAATTTTGAAATTCCCCCAAGTTAGTAATATATGTATAGTATGATATAAGTGGTATAAGTAAAGTATAATACTTTCTTGTGATGCTGGGTAGTAACTCTGAGCCACAGATTTCAGTCATCCATGTTATCATGAGGATAAAGAACTGATACTGTACAGTACATTTTCAACTTTGGGTGGTGTAGCGGTTGGGGCACTGGAATCCTATGTTGACAACTGAGGTTCAAGTCCTGGACCTGGCAGCTTGCTTTCTCACTTTCCCTCTCCCTGACTCTCTGTCCATCTCTAGTGAGAACATGTGCCCAATAGCAAATTTAAAATTAGTAATAATAATAAATAAAATTAAATAAAGAATACTTTTAATTTTTTTTTCTCTTTTACCCTTTTGCAGTTAATCACTATTCCTCCTGTTTAACCCCTGGAAATATTGACTAAATTTCTGTTCCTATAATTTTACTTTACCAGAATTACACACACTGGATTGTGTGTTTATGAAGTCATATTGTACCTGCTTTTTTCACTTAGAATCCTACTTTTAGAATTCATTCACATTTTTTTATGTACCAGTGGTTCATTCCATGTATATGTAAATAAGCTTCAGATTTTCCACTGTCGCCTTGGACAGTAAAGTGCTGATGTTCCTATTAAAGTTCTCTTTGATTTTTTTTAATCACTTATTCCTCCAGGATACTTTCTTTCAGCATTTATAGAAAGTAGAATACAGTGGTGTCATTAATTGCTAATAATTAGTACTTTAATGGTACTAATCCTCAGAGAAAATTATGTTTGTTTTATTTTAGTAGATTCCCTTGAGTCTTTAGTAAGTAGAAAATGATAAAAGCAGCATTTTCTAAGTGTTTGGTTGGCACGTAGTAACTCTTTCTTAAAAGAGTTGGAATTTTCTGGCTCATCAAATTTCCTAATTAATTTTTCACTCTCTTATGTTTTTTCATTTCAGAGAAGATGTATCTAGTTTGAGATTTTAAATGATGAAAACTAAACTTTAAGAACAAAGTTTCACAAAGCACAGCCTATCTGGAATGGAAGACTAATGTACATAGAGCTTTTGACACCTGAGTCTCAAGTTGCAGTATGTTGATGGAATATGGAAATTCTTCACAGAAGCACATTGCCTCTCTCCACAAAAATAACTGGTAATAATTCTTTCTACTGAATAATAAAATATGTTCATAAAAATAAGTAAACTTACCATTAATTGTGTTAATATATATTTCTTCCACACACACAGGCAGAATAGAACAAATAATAAACCCAAAAAGGTAAGTCAACTATAATTTTGGCTTAACTTCATATCGGAAATTAATGCAGATGAACAGTAAGTCTAGTTCAGGAATTTAAACTTGACTGCCAAGTTTCCATTTTTCTAAACAAAAATCTCTTTTTAGGGACCAGCAGATGGCGTAGTGGCTACATTGCTGGACTCCCATGTGGTCGACCATGGTTCGAGAGTCGAACCTGGTGGCTTAAACCCACGCTGGGCCCACGTGTGCCGTGCCCAAGATCCTGAGAGGAGAATGAAGGAGAAGAGGTGGCATGGCCATCCCCCTCGGGGGTGATTTCTTACTTTCTGTCTCTCTGCCTCTCTCTTTATTTCTGGCAAGCGTACCCTATAGCAAAAACCTCTCAAAAAAATATATTTTTTTAGTGGTAGATTAATATTATGCTTAGGTACAAAGAGATAGTGTGATGTGTTTTTTGTTTTTTGGGTTTTTTTTTGAGAGGTTTTCACTATAGGACACGTGCGCTTGCCAGACAGACAGAGAGAGACATAGAGACAGAAAGCGAGAAATCACCCCCCAGGAGGGATGGTCAAGCCGCAATCCCTTCTCCTCCATTCTCCTCTCAGGATCTTGGGCACGCACGCACATGCGCCTGGCGTGAGTTCTAAGCCACCGGGTCCGGGATGCGAACTGTGATCGACTACATGGGAATCCAGAGACATAGCCATTACGCTAACTGCTGGTTCCCGATGTGTTTTCTTCATAGACTGTTACATCTGTATTTTATTTTCTCGGACTCTATAAATTAAGTATTGACCTAGATGAAGTGAGGTAGAAAAATTCAGCAATTCTTCTCTAGAATTTCTCATTCTAAAAAGACAAATCAATTTAGAGCAATTATATATGTATGATAAAAAATAAGAAAATAAAATTTAAATAATATAGTTATTTAAATTTTACATGCAGAATAGTGTCTTGGGGAGATAGACTGAAATGCATATTAAGCCAAAGTATTTATTATTAGGTCCCTAGAAAAAATTTAGAGGATGGTTATAAAGAGAACTGATGGATTAGAAGAAATCTTGAGAGGCTGGCAGGGGGCATGGTGGGTTACATTGGATTCCCACATGGCCGACAGTGGTTCAAGTCCCAGACTTAGCAGCTTGCTCTCTCCTTTCCTCTCTCTCTCTCTCACTCTCTCTTTCTGCCCCCCATCATTCTCTGATAAAATTAAAATAAATAAAGTTAAATAAAATAATTCTTAAAAAAAAAGAAATCTTGAATTAACAGGTAGCATATAGGCATGTGTCATCTGTATTTTAAGACTGCAGAAACCATTGACAGCTAAATAAATTTGAGAATACATAGTTATGCTTTAAGATATAGAAAAAAACAATATGTATACATACATATTCTAATTTTGTTCTTCATTTCCTACGTAGATTTGATAAAGCACACGAGAGAGAAATGAAGAACCAATCAATGGAAATACAATTCATTCTCCTAGGATTGACAGATGACCCACATTTGCAAATCGTGATTTTCCTTTTTCTATTTCTCAACTACACTTTGAGCCTGTTGGGAAACATAATCATTATTCTCCTTACCCTGCTGGATTCCCGCCTCAGGACACCAATGTATTTCTTTCTCCGAAATTTCTCCTTTTTGGAAATTATATTCACAACAGTGTGTATTCCTAGGTTCTTGACAACTATTGTGACTAAAGACAAAACCATTTCTTACAATAATTGTGCAGCTCAACTGTTTTTTATCCTTTTACTTGGTGTTACTGAGTTTTACCTCCTGGCTGCCATGTCCTATGACCGCTATGTCGCCATCTGCAAACCACTGCATTACCCAATCATTATGAACAGCAAAGTGTGCTATCAACTTGTACTCAGCTCATGGGCAACTGGATTTCTAATCATCTTCCCCCCATTAGTCATGGGACTCAAGCTGGATTTCTGTGCTTCCAGAATAATTGATCACTTTATGTGTGAAACATCCCCTATCTTGCAGATCTCTTGCACAGATACACGTGTCCTAGAATTGATGTCTTTTGTTTTAGCTGTGGTGACACTTGTGGTCACATTGGTATTAGTGATTCTCTCTTACACTTACATCATTAAAACCATTCTGAAATTCCCATCTGCCCAGCAAAGAACCAAAGCTTTTTCCACCTGTACTTCTCACATGATTGTTGTTTCCATTACTTATGGTAGCTGTATATTTATGTATATTAAACCATCAGCAAAAGAAAGGGTGACTGTATCCAAAGGTGTAGCTTTACTGTATACCTCAATTGCCCCTTTACTAAATCCCTTTATTTATACTCTAAGGAACCAGCAGGTGAAAGAAGTCTTCCAGGATGTATTACAAAGGATTTCACATTTTTCAAAAAAAGCATTTTAAGAATATGGTACAAATAATAAGCTTCCCTAAAAACTTGGAAAAAAATGTTTTATATGTTTGTCTTAGTCATTTCTTTTCCATCTCACTGATTATCTTATACAGGGGATTTTCTTACAGAATCTTGTAGCTAGTTCCACCTTATATCCTACTCTTTCTTATAGTACATTTCATCCTACCACAATAATTTCCTTCAATTCTTTAATCCAATTTTAAGTAAGATCCCCTTACAGGTCCAGAAAACACACTTTTGATTAAAAATGCCTTGCATAAGTGTAGGTTTCTGTATGTAATTCAACATATATTTATTGTATATCTATCTTATTTCAGAAATTAAGAGCTTAATCTTTACTTTCTAAAAGCTTTCATTGCCAAAAAGACATAAATACATTCACAAAATAATGCTATATAGTATGCAACTCCTGTTATAATAAAAGTCAACAAAAACATTATGGGACTAACAGAGTGACTTATGTGGAATTTAAAAATAAGGGGTGACTTTTCAGGAGAAAGTAATAATTTTGTTGAGACTAAAAATACACATAAAGAAAACCGAGGTATTAACATATAAAAATAATGCAAATGTGTTAGATAGCTATGATGTTGAAGAAATAGTTTATATAATTATTAGGAAAGGGCTTTGAGGGTCAGAAGATGGCATAACAGTTATGTTACTGTTCTCCCACATGGCTGACCATGGTTTGAATCCCAGACCCAATGAATTGAAAACCACACACGGCATGTGTGTATGAGTGCTCAAGGTCTCATGACAAGAGTGAAGAGAAGGAATTGCAGCATGGTCATCAATGCTGGGGGTGATTTCTCACTTTCTCTCACCTGTCTCTGTCTCTTTATCTCTCTCCAGTGAGCTCTCACACCCTAAGGCAAAAACCTCTTTAAAAAAGGGCTTTGGGTTATTCAGCTAGGTTTGGCAAAAGCTGTATCACATGCTTTCTGAGATACTTCATGGATTATATAAATTTTTATGCCTTAATTTGTCCATATGTACAGCAGGAGAAATGTAACACATACTTCATTGTTCAGTAAATGTATCATATTAGAACCATTTTTCACTCTGAAAATGAAACAGCTAATTTTCTGAAAAACTCAAAATGTCATACAGCTAATATTTGATGTACTATTGGCCTTTGTGACTGGCTTCTTAGTGTGGTAAGTTGATATTGTTAAAGATAGTGCCAAAAATGAGTCTAGAGAAGCTGAAGGGTCAAAACATGAAAGGACCTATTCACATAATAGTATTTTGGGTTTACAACCATTGCATTAGTAAATTTTGAAGGTGTGTTCCTAAGAATCACCTAGCTGGTTTTATAAATGTAATTTTAAGTTATCAACCTGTGTTTCCAAGTCAATATGTCTGAAATGGAGGTGATACGTTCTATGTTTCATATATACATACCCCAGGCCATTTTTAGGGATAGTCTTTACTTGATACTTACTCTTGGAAAAGTCATTGAAAGTGTATTTAAAATGAAACATTGATGTTCACTTCTTATTTTAGAGAGATTACTCTCAGAAATAATATTATTTGCAACCTCTTCTGGGGTTGGAACACAAGTGAGGGAATCACTGCTTTAAATTACTTAATTGTGAAGATTCATATATGCATGTGACAAGTGAGTCTAAATACAAATGATAGAATAAGAGATATTTAGAATAAAAGAATTAGAGATTTTATGAAATTTTAGACCTTGGGAATAACTGAGCTTATTTCTCCATTTATACAACCCACATATAAGCATTAAATCTTGTAACAGTTCTCAGGTACACTAAATTTACTAAAACAAACACTTATTCAAAGAGCCATATTTGTTAACCAAAGAAGGAATTGAGATGATCCAAGAAACAGATGTTTGCAAAAGTTTTTATTGTTATTATTATCTGCTTCATTTCCTTTTTTCCTTTATTTCTCTCTTTCTTGCTCTCTTTTCTTTCCGGGGGAAAGGGTGCCCATAGGACCTGTGACTTGGCCAGGCCTCATTTTAACCCTTTGCTTTACAGTGGTCAACAAACAGGATGTTACGGATTCTGCTTCTCCTGCTGCTGGACCGTCTACTCTCTTCAGTTTCAATCACAGAACCAGATATGCACCTTGAAAATTAAAGAAAGAAAAACTGAGTTGCAATCCTCGTGATTCCAAGAACAACATTTTTATGTATATTCAAACTAGCTGTGAGAAGCAGCAGTCACTGTGCAGAAACACAATTGCTGGACAGGAATAAGGTCATAGCAGATGTGTAGCTCTCTTGCTCTATCCTTGGTGATGCCTAAAGTAGTTCTGATTAGATCACACGTCGTTTTAGGCGCTTACATAATATCTACTGCTTGTCAAATGAGCAAGACTCTAGGGCTACATGCCAGCAGGTAGCATGGAGGTAAGTACCCTGGACATACTTCTTCCTAATTGTGGCTCAAGTCCCAGATCAGGTGACTCACTTTCTCATTCTCTCTACCTCTCTTTGATTCTCTTGGTCAGCTCATGTACCCTATAGCAAATTTAAAATAATAATAATACATTTAAAAATTTTTTCAAAGGACTCTTGGGGCTATATATATTATATTCTTATATACATTATAAATTTTTTTTAGCAAAACAGAAAAACTAGTCCATGTAATTTAAAGTTTTTAAATTTAAGTACTATTAATATTTTGAGACTTAATTTTTCTAATTCATTTTTATTTCATGTTCTTTTATACAATCACGTATTTAGCTTACAAAGTGAATATTCCAACATGTGTACATTTCTCCCTAGTCCAGTTGATAATACTATTATCTTCAACAGATAATACCCCATTTCTTTGTCCCATTAATACTTTGCCTCTTTATTTTTCTTCTAAATGTCCTTTCTCAGACTCTACTCTTTTATCCATCCTCTTTCCACACTATATCTAGTATCTTTAAAAGAATTATTTTATTTATTTATTTATTCATATTTTACTTTGACCAAAAGGAACTGAGAGAGAAAGAGGAAATCTGAGAAAACAAGCCGCCAGGTCCAGGACTCAATCCACAGTCGACCATCTAAGAGTCCAGGAACCTTAACCACTATGCCACCTGCCAGACCCGAGAATGTTAATTTTTTTTTGAGAGGTTTTTACTATAGGGTGAGTGTGCTCGCCAGACAGACAGAGAGAGACAGAGAGACAGAAAGTGAGAAATCACCCCCCCATGGGGCATGGCCACACCACAATTCCTTCTCCTCCATTCTCCTCTCCAGATCTTGGGCATGCATGCACACATGCCTGGACTGAGTTTTAGCCGCCAGGTCCATGACTCGAATCATGGTTGACTACATGGGAGTTCAGTGACATAGCCATTACGCTAACTGCTGGTCCCATATCTGGTCTTAATTGTTGATATTTGACATAGCATACCTTGCCGTTAGATCTTTATAGCTATGCAAGGAGAACATGAATTTATCCTATAACATTCAAATCTATAAGGTTATTTTTTTTTTTGCTAATATATAGTTATTGCTATTATTATCTGTGAATGATTCTGAGATGCTCCTTGGACTCCTAATGATTTTTATTTCCAAATTTACTTCTAGAATTTATTTTCCACTTTTTCTGAACTCTTCATCTCTATATATTTCAATAACTCTGAAAACAAAAAAATTAAAGAATTATTTTATTTAACTTTATTTATTTACTTATTTATTTAATTTTTTCCAGAGAGAGACAGAATAAGTGAGAGAGAGGGAGCTAAAATGAGAAAGCAAGCAACCAATCTGGAACTTGAACCAAAGTCGGCCATGTGGGAGTCCAGCCCCGCTTTACCACCACACTACCTGCCAGCTCCCAAAATAATTGTTCAAGTTATCAAGTAGGAATGCTAAATATTTCTGTGGTGTGGTGGTTAAGGTGCCTAGATCTCACATCTCTAACTTTATGATTCAAGTCTTGGACCTGGTGGCATGAGAAATTCTCCATGCGCATGTACTTGTGTGCCCAAAATCCCAAATGAAGGGAGAAATAGAAGGGATTGTGGCATGATCATTTCCTATGAAGAGTGCTTTTTCGCTTACCCTCTCTGTCTTTATGTCTGTCTCTGTACAGCAAGTGCACACACACTCTACCAAAAAAAAAGAAAAAAGAATAACCCTGAATTAAGCCATTTTATTTATTCCCAAGGGTCATACTATTAAAATTAGTTTAAGTATAACTGTGAAGAATGTGAATTAAGCCTTCCTAGAGTTTATGAAGTCAAAGAGCAAAACAAAACATTTGCCTAGAGTGCCAAGTCCACCTGATCCTACCAATTCCCTATTGTACTAGAAAGAATCACTTCTTTCAGTATTTGTAACCTGATTCTTTAGTTCATTGATTTTGGCAGCTTTTTAATGCTGTAAAAAGTGAAATGGAAGCAGAATGAAGTTTATAAAGGAACTCCCCTGACCTCCTATACTCAGAATTTCTATTGCATGTTTTAAGAATCAGCTATACTTGTATTGACACTTTAATTGCATAGACTCATTTCTCTATGATCAATGAAACTATATTTAATTTCCAGGAATATGTCTCTTATATCCGCATCTGTAAGTACTGGAAAATTCCTAGAGCTCTATTTGTTGAGATAATAGATGAACAAATAAATGAACAAACATGGTTCCCTTTCCAAAGTCTGGGATTTGCTACATAAAAGAATTTATTCAAGGGAGCCTTGTAGTAGAGGTCCTATTGTCTCTAGGAAATCTAAATCTTAATATTGGCCCTGTTTTAGATTCAGGGAATAATTTTAGATCTTTAGTATTATTATATTTTTTATGTTTATTGTTTTTCATAATTCTTTATAAGAAATGCATCAATGTGCCCCTGACAATCCCTTCTATTTAATTTCAGAATGACATTATGGGAGGTTGGAGGTTAGAGATTTTCAGGGGTTGACATTTCATGATATGAAATGTAATCACTTTTCATATTGATCAAGTTAATGATAAAGCCTTGTAGAGAGACTCCTCAGAGAATGAAAAATATTATTGTAT